AACAACTGCTTAGCTAAGTAGCAACGACATGCTAAAACAGTATGTTTGAGATGGAATGACATGGCATAACACCTTGTTTGAGTTGACATGACATAGCAATGCATGAAATTTTTGAAAAAGACATGTTTACAGAAAATGTTGAATAGGCAGTTCTTTAATGTCTGCATAACATATTTCAATTTCATGTAACATATGGTTTTGAAGTTATAGCTGATACATTTTCCTTGCCTTTTACAAACTCGGTTATATATATCTTTTTATAAGCGTTCACCATATCTATTACCTGCATACCAAATTTCAGTCTCGTGGGGCTTATGGCTATGAAGTTATATCTGATAAAAAATTCCACGCTTATGGGATGTGCAACGCCCCCTTTTACAAACTCATTTATTTATTTTACTATAAGCACATACCACAGCTATGCCTGCATACCAAATTTAAAGTTCATGTGACTCATCCTTTCGAATTCATAGCTTATAAAAAATTCCACATCTACGGGATGTGGCGGACCACGCCACCTTTTACAAATTTCTTCATATATACCTATGGTGACCATCCGTTCTGTTTTCTGCAGGACCGTACTGTTTTTCAAAGGTCGGTCCTGCGTAGTTTTTCAAACCTGAAAAACCTGAAAATGTACTGATTTTTTCCAAGTGTCCTGCATTTGTCCCGCATTTTATTCGTTATTTTAAAATTATCGGACAATGGATGGATTTTTTTAAAAAAGTGTTTTTTGGTACTTTTCGTAGCTTTTCTTCAATATCTCATGAAAAAATCTCCAAATTAACGTAAGCGACTTACAACTCGAAGGGTGAGATTTTCGATCAAATACGCAGTTTCATTTGATTATTTTTTTCATAATTTAAAAAATTCGATAAAGAAGATATATCATTACAGTAAACTTTGAGCCAAAGATAATTAAAATCGGATTAGAAATGTAGATGCTATGGAGCGCAATCTGCACAAATTATATATTTTTGTAAAGGGCACTTTGTAACTCGTCGTTTACGCCGATTCATGACGTCGATTTTTGACAAATAACTGCGAAAAGTACCAAAAAACAAAAAAAAAGAAGGGTATTGTTTTCGTTTTGAACTACTCAAAATTTGCCTATAAAATAATCTTTTAAAGATTTCCACTTTTTGTGTAAGCTATTGTAATTATAATATGTTTTACTATACTTTTATAAATATTCATGTAAAAAAAGATTAATATCAATGAAGAAAACGTGATTCATTTTTAAAGTTTAAAATGTATTAAGAATTTAGAATCATAAATACTCTTTTGATATTTTTATACTACGTAAATATATGTAGGCATATTTTTGAAAAATTGTCCTTCATTTTGAATCCATATTTATGGTCACCGTATATATACCTTATTATAAGCATGTGACTTATGGTTTCGAGGTTATAGCTGATAAAAAATTCCACGCCTACGGGATGTGCCACACCCCCTTTTACAAACTCATTCATATACACCTTAATATAAGCGCCTACCATAGCTGTGCCTGCATACCAAATTTCAAGTTCGTGGGGTTTATGATTCCCAAGTTATAGCTGATAAAAAATTCCACGCCTACGGGATGTGCCACGCCCCCTTTTATAAACTTATTCATATACAGCTTACTATAAGCACCTACCGTAGCTATGCCTGCATACCAAATTTCAAGTTTATGTGACTTATGGTTCCGAAGTTATAGCTGATAAAAAATTTCACGCCCCCCTTATCGAATCCCAATTTTTTCTCCCTATTATAGGCCCAGGTGTCATGACAATACTCTGTCAAAAACCTGGTACATGCATACATACTTCCTCAAATATATAGTAGATATCTATCCTTCTCTTAGCGTAAAATAGTTTTTGGGGATATCTCGGCCCCGGGGCCAAAAAACGTGTAAGTTTTAAGTCCAAATATTAGGGGAATTCACTCTTTTCTGTATTCGTTGTATGTTGTGTAATTGTAACTGCATGAGCGTGTGATTTGTTGTTGCTGGCGGTAAATCAAATACACATGCAACAACAACCACACACTCAACCAGTTACACTTACGCAGGATACAGCGAATACACAGAAGCGCGAATTCCACTATTTATTATGTTTGCTGGGTTGGAGCTGCTTCGGCCGATAGAGTTAAAAAAGCGAAAAATTAAATTTCCCTTTTACCCTCCTACGCGTTTCAACGCTCTCGCGTCTTCATCAGGGAGTCTTTATTCGAAAAATAAAAACAAAAACAAATAAACAATAAAACATGATAAGCAAGTAAAATTCGCTGATGCAAAAACAATAAACATAGTTAACGACAATTACTTTACACTAATTCTGACTTTGAACTCACATTTACATAAATATTATTGGCAAAAATTGTTTAACAAACGATCAACGTTAGCACCATTTTAAGTATCTTTTCAACAATACCAAATTCGAATCCTATGTTCTTATTTATATTTGTTATTGATTACAGCTGCATATACGTTGTTGGTGTTATCTACGTCCTCTTTAAAGTTGATCGCATTCTCAAGTCCTTGTTGTATACGTAGGCTTTCTAATGTCATTCTCCTTTTTACCCCTCTTTCGATGTCCAAAATTCTCGTATCCGCAAAGTGTTCGTGCTTCGTCAAGTGTTGTGCCAGTGCTGTTGTCATCTTTTTGTTTCTCTCATCCGCTTTATGTTCGCTTATTCTTGTACCCAATGATCTTTTTGTTGTGCCTACGTAGCATTTGTTACAGCTTTCAGTATCATTCGCCTTACATTCTATTTGATACACCACATTATGTTGTTGTTCCTTCAGAATTCTGTCTTTTGTTTTAGTGTACAGTTTGCTTATTGTATTGTGCGGTCTGTGAGCATATGTAATATCTTCGTTCTTTATTGTTCTCCTGAGCGCCTGGTTATTTGTTAGTCCTGGTACGTAAGTTACTCCAATGTACTTTTTATTGTTAGTTGTGTTGTTAGCCTGAAGATCTTTATTTTGATTTGTTTGTTTACTTTTGTTTATCGTCGTTTCTATTAAATTGTTAACTACCGCATGCGGGTAGCCGTTTTTGTGCAGAATGCTTTTAATTTTATTTTTGTTCTCCTCTGCGAACTCGTTGTTGCTTAGTATGTACACCTTTTTGATCAGGCTAGCAGCGGTGTCTATTTTCTGACTCCATGGGCGATTTGGATGGAAATTAATAAGTCTACCCGACGCGATGGATTTCGCATACCAGTTTAGCAATATTGTATTCCGTTTTCTATGCACCTCTATGTCTAGGAAGGCAATTTTATTATCTTTCTCTCTTTCAACCGTAAATTTAATTTTTGTGTTTTGTGCATTCAATACTTTTAGTATGTCTTCCGCGTTCTTTGTTTTTATTATTGCAAACACACCATCTACATATTTACTTATGTATTTTATATGTATGTCAGTTTGTTTCAATTCAGTTATACTGTCGTCTAATCCACTATTTATTTTCAATTGGCTAAATTGTGTTCTAAATATGAGCTAAATCAGCAAGTAAATGCAATATTTAAGAATATCCTGATCCCAGCGCCACCTAGCGAGCAAATTTTTGGAAGAAAGGAACTGATATATGTACCAAATATGAACGAAATCGGTCCAGCCGTTTAGTAGTTTAGTGACATTCAATATACGGAAAACTCTATGAAATTGTGAAATCGTGACGTCGGAGCATTCTTCATTTTTCGGCAATAACACCAAAAAAATTCAAATTTTTTTAAATCGAAAAACCTTCCACGCAGAAGGTCCAAAAAAGTACTTTTTACAAAATTGAAATCGGTTCCGCCGTTTGATCAGGCGTCGCCGTCATACGGAAAACATTTCATTTTTATATACACAGATATAGATATAGATATAGATATAGATATAGATATAGATATAGATATAGATTTCCGCAATTTCCGCTACCTGGGTCCGCCACTGGGTAGTTATGTATATCGAACTCCATTTCATTAATGTGGCTGCTGGGCTAGCTTCGCAATTTCCAAGACCTTAAGGGCCTGAATAGTTAATGGATTGTTCGTTTAAAATCGATCCTTCACGGTAACTCACAAAAAATTCTTAACACGTTCGCTACCACGCGTCACATACATATGTGTGTCAGCTGGGTTTTCACGTGGGACCACCGACACAAATGTGTGACGCCGGTCTAACTTCATTAAATTAAACCTCCTTTCACTGCCGTCTGCGATAGTGGGTTGTTGGATACAGTATGGTCTATATAAAGGTCTGGCACACGTTTGTGACAAGTGGGCTCGGTATTACAGCTACCTGTTAAGTATGAGGTTATGTTTATTTACAGGGCACGTGGTAAAGTCTTTACCGACTTTAAGAGGGAAAATATTAGCTTCATAGTGAAGTAAATACACAGAGGACGGTAAGGACATATATTTAGGCTTGTTTGAACATAATAAATTTGAACACACCAAAAACAAGCCATAATGCTACTATGTTTTCACCTAGACTTAATTTTATGTAAGCTTTGTATTTTTGAATTAAACTGAGTTAGATAAAATCCTGAAGTTTAGCTTATCACATAAATGTGGCCCTTGTCTATATCGAAAGATATCTCTATATACCAGCGTCACAAATATGTGTCAGGCTTAAAACAATTACTTTTATTATGAATTTGAGTTTCTGAGATACCCAATGACAACCAAGACCCACAACACTAGACAAAAACAAATAATATTCCACCTGGTCTGTGATGACGCACTGCTTAAATACGTTTGGTAGCGAACGTTTTAAGGCGTAATATTGCAGGTCCGAGTTGGCCAATTGAAGCCATAAAAACAGATTTAGCTGAGCACTCCTGAAAAACCCATATTATGAGGGTTTAAAAACTTTTGAAACAAATTGAACTTTTTTTGATCTAATGTGCAATAATATGAATGTAAACTCAGTGATCAATAATTTCGAATTAAAACTTCATAGTTGATTAAATTCAGTGTTTTCTACGATATGTAGTTCATTTAAATTACGGTCATAAAATACTTACGGTTTAATTGGCACGGGTACATAACCGTCGGTGCCGGGTGGTGGATTTTGTAGAGCTGCGAGCTTGGCGTGGATATCGCAGTAGAGCTTGTTGTTGTAGTTATAGTAACCTTGGTTTTTCAAAGAGGTGCCGCAAGTTGCACACTTGAAACATTCCACATGCAGATTCTTGTCCTTGATGCGCACAAAAACACCACTGTGAAAAGCGACAACATTGTGTGTGAGTCCATGAAATATTAAAAACTTGTATGTGAAATGTATACATGCATGTAGTATGTACATAAATATTTCGATTAATTCAGCTACTTATTTTCAAACATACATGCATTTATGAGATTACATTTATGCACACCTAATGTCACGTGCATATAGAGCACCGTCCACTCTTGTCAATCATTCCAAACATTTACATAACAATTTCCCATTTACAACTAATACTTAATATTCTTATTCAGTGGTTAGCAGTGCGCTGTACCATTCCGCAGGGCCTGGGTTCAAGCTCAGGTTCCGACTAACATCAAAAACCAGAAAATAAAAAACTTGTTCCAATAGCGGTCGCCCCCCTTCACGCAATGGCAAACCTCCGATTGTATTTCTTCCAAGAAAAACTACTTCTCATAAAAATACAATCGCCGTTCGGAGCTGTAGGTCCTTGTGTACATAGATTGCGATATATATTACTATATTCGCAGCTCGACTCTCACACCCGCCCTCAGAGAGCAATCTTCAACAAACCGACATATGCGACCAGTGAAACCACATTTCCCGTTCATTAAGTACCTCCGCCGAAGAAGAAGTTGGATTTCAACGACCCCGAAAGAACAACTGGTACGGTGAAGAATTTCAAGAAGCTGCGGAGAATAGGTGCCGCCTACCGGGCCACCAAGACGCATCCACATAAGGTGGTAGCACCCCCTTATAAGTAAAACTCACGTGTATTTGGTTATTGCTTTTTTGTACTTAAAGATGTCAAAACGAAAGAAAATGGGGGATAATTTTCCTCATTTCGTTTTATTGCCATCTTAGAGTTATGCTATTTTGTCTTGGATGAAATTCTACAGCTGTTCTATGTAGTAACACCACCTTGTATAAATGCGCCAAACCGACGCTGCTATGGTGCGCAATGGGAGCCATGTGGGACAGTCATAAGGAACTGAAGAGGGAAGTGAGACGTATTTGCCGCAATAAGAAGAGAGAGGCCGAAAAACGTGTGTGCGAGGAGGTTGAAATGCTGGCCTACAGAAAGAATGCCAGAAAATTTTACCAGAGAGTTAGGCGACGTACGGAAGGTTTTAAAACCAAGGCGAACTCTTGTACGTAGGGTTCAATCGATACCACTAAGGTATCACTCTAATGAGTACTTGTACTCAAAAGACTGAAAGTATCGATACCTACTCAGTATCGGAAAAGTATCGAGTACTTACTTGAATTGTTTTCATCTTCTCTTTTGAGAGATACTTCCCTTTTTGTTGTAAAAGGTCGTATGATTACGTCTTATCATGGTTTAAAACATTGTATGTCCAAATCAAATAAAAAGCCAATAAAGTTGCAGGTATAGAAAACGTATATATTTAACTTATTTAGTAAGAATACAAAATAATTATTAATTAATATTTGTGGCACATTACCAAGGAACAGTATTGGCTATAATTTTTTCAGTCATATGAGTGTATAGGTCCCCCAATATGGATAAGCTGCGGATTTTTATTTCTGTTTTTATTTTCAAGTTAGTTTTATTCACTTTTTTTATAAACAATATAGTTCATTCCATAACAAAAACCTTGTTAATCCAAGTTTAAAATTAAAGCAGATCAACAAAGTTTCATCAAAAATCGTAAATAATAAGAAGGGACAACTTGTGCCTTCTCTTTTGCGCTAGTACGTTTTCATCATAATTCCACACTTTTTATTCTGAATAAAAAGTGTTTAATTTTGGTGAAAATTTGATTTTCTTTTAATTTTTGTACAAAATTTGAAACTAGGATTTACATGGTTTTTGTCATAGAATGAACTATATTTTTTATTAAAAAGTAACTAAAATTAATTTGTAAATAAAACTTGAAATCCGACACTTATCCATAAGGTCACCCCTATGAGTATACAGCGCACTGCATCATTTACAAACTATTTATGAAAAAAATTTTATTGTTTCTTTTGGTACATTACTGAGGAACAATATTAGTTATAATTACATATATGACTTCATATAAGTATATTATTCACAAAATATTTATGAAAAAAATAGCTTTTGGGGCACACTGCCAAGAAACAACAACTTTTCTAAATGCTTTCCAGACAAGCGATTTCTACTTTCTCTACTATATGACCGCACTTTTCGCGAAAGCTCTAATAACGGGCGTTATTTGTTGAGTTGCTGTTGCAATGATAAAAGTAGTAGAAATTACTCTTTTGATACCAAATACTTTTTTTTCGATACCTACTCGATACCGAACAAAAAGGTATCGAGTAAAAAAAATACTTGGTATCAAAAGAAAAGTATCGAGTATTTACATGTATCGATTGAACCCTACTTGTACGCACAACAATGGCGACCTAGTGACTGATGCCCAGAATGTACTAAAATTATGGAGGTAACACTTTCCAAACATACTGAACGGTAGCAGCAATGAAAGCTGTGGAGAAGACGGACCCGAGCCCCAGTCAATGACGACGGAGCCGATTTTTCACCACCTGACAATGACGAGGTACGAATAGCAATAGCGCGCTTGAAAAACAACAACGCTGCTGGAGCTAACAGCCTGCTAGCAGAGCTATTCAAGTACGTCAGCAAGGAGCTGATAAAGTGCATGCATCAACTCTCATGCAGAATATGGTCAGATGAATGCATGCCCGACGACTCGAAATTAAGTGTGTAAAATTTAAGTTAAGTTGAACCATGAATAAGGTGACCCGAATTTTTTTAACATTCCAGGAGGACAAATTCTCCACATTGAAAACACATAAACTTAACTATTCAAAAGTTATAAGATTTTTAATGAAAACAAACTTTTTTACATGTTATTTGCATCGAAAATTTCAAATGCCCACCGACACCTTTAAAAATTTAAATGAAAAATTTTTGGAAATGGGTGAATATCCTCCTCAGTAAATTGTAAGGCCCCAAATTCGCTAGGTTAGTTATTTTGGATCACTTTTATATATAAATATACAAAAATTACTCGTTTAAATTAAAAGGAATAAGTGGCAAAATTTCCCGGAAAACACCCTCCCAAAAAAGGTCTGGATCCGCCGCTGGGCCTGTGTTATTTTTGATTGTGTACTTGGATGTGAAATAACACATTTTGTAAAATTGTTTAAGCATATTTGCGCTCCAATGCAACGAACATACTTGTTTTAAGTCATCTTATAAATGCTTTTATCAAGATAGAAAATCCCCACACACAAGTATTGCTTCTGATAAAACTTATACATATCTGGCAAACAAAATTACATATGGTAGGCAATAATTTTCGCCTGTGAAGACGCGTCGTTAGCTAGTATTTCAGTGTTTGTTACGGGTAATATAGGGTAACATAAGGGTAGATTATCCTCATTTTGGAGCTCCCTAATCTGTAATTAGAAACAGGGATTATAAAATAATCTCAGATCAAACCGATAACCTTTCGGTGTCCAACCTAGTTTTACCGATTACTTTTGCGAAGAAGGAGATATGCCAAATGAAAAAGTAAACAAACATGGACGCTGTCAATTAAGAGATGTTTGTAAATTTTTAAACAAATATTAAGCTAAAATATATTTCAATTGCCTCGTATAGAGGAACAGATGATCACGGTGGCACAGAGAAGGAACTTAACTTTTCCTTGAGATGAGAGAATAACAAGCACAAAAAATTTGGCACTATTAATCTGAATTTGCCTGTGTAAACGGGGTGATTAAAAAATGAGCTTTGATTGAGATTATATTTATATGTGAACATACTTTAAAACGGCTTTCCCATATACATCATTTAACTGAAAGTTGAACAATGTAAACGGCTTTTAAATACAATGATTGTGCACGATTGGGAAATAATATTCTGAACGAAATTTTTTCTTAAATTTCATCACTGCTATAAAACTTGAAAATGAGTACAAAGAGGACATTTTTGCTCAAAAGGAGGACAGAGAAGGCAAATATTTTTGAGAAGGACGGTTAGTCAGTTTAACCATGAACCAACAAATTTTAGAAAAATCCGAAAAAATTGTTTTTCTAAATAACTTTATCTAAATATAATTACACTGTAGTGAAAATCTCAAGTTTTGAAATTACAAAAAAACAAGTAAGAGCAGCGCTGTCTTCGGCTATGCCGAAGGCTTCATACCTTTCATGAACATCTGCAAATTTTACTTTGACAGATTACTGCTTTTGAATACATCTGCATACATCGATAGAGGAGTTACATACTTATATAAAAAATCGCATCTAAACAATCAGAGGTATGGAAGATATACTTTATATGACACCAATCTAAGTGATTTTCACCGCTATGTGATCGGTATGTAAACCGGTAACACAATTTATTGGGTTTAGTTTCGTACATAAAGGAGATATATGGCAAAAACTGGTATCTTAACAATCAGTGCTATAGGAGATAAAGCTTATACAGCATAGATTTTGACGATTATCTCAGTAGACTTTGTATTATTATTTATAAAATATCTTACGAAATTTATCGGTTTTACCTGTTCAAATAAAAGAGTTTTACAGTAAAATCCCATATCTGAACAATCAGATGTATGGAAGATATATGTTGTAGTCATCCGATCCTTGTTATTTTCACTGTAAGTATTCTGTTAATAATGAGTGAAAATGGTGCGAAATTTCATGTTCCTAGCTGCATAAATGGAGGAGTTATGATAAAAGACCTCATATCTGAACAATCAGTTGTATGGGGGCTGCAGGTTATAGTGACCCGATCTTTGTTATTTTCGCTGTAAGTCTTCTGTTGATAATGAGTGAAAACAGCGCGAAATTTCATGGTCCTAGCTACATAAATGGATGAATTATAACGAAAAATCTCATATCTGAACAATCAGTTGTATGGGAGCTATAGGTTATAGTTACCCGATCTTTTTAATTTTCACCCTAAGTTTTCTGTTGATATGTATTGAAAACAGTGCGGAATTTCATGTTCCTAGCTATATAAATGGAGGAGTTATAACGCAAAATTTTATATCTGAACAATCAGTTGTATGG